TTAAGATTCAAGTCCCCCCTTCTCCCCCCCAAACCTCAGTAAACTTTCAGTTCTGATCTGATGTGTGCTTTTTCCTAGCCAATTGCTCAGGTGAGCGATGTGGCCCCTGGGCCTCTAGTTCTTAATAGGTCAGTCGCGTTCGTGATTCATACAAGTAACCATCTGATCACGGAGCTTGCAGGCTACCGACGTAACTGCCATGACGGTACACAGCAGATTGAAAGGTAGATATTGGAAGAATAGTATACACTTATCCCTGGCTGTGAGTGAGATAGTTCTTTTATAAAACCCGCGACAGGAACTATTCCCCGAGGGCTTGTCCTGTCAAGGGTTTGCTGAAAGAGCTACCCCACTCACTGCCAGTGAATAAGCGTTTTATTATACTGATGTACTTTGTTTTGAACGGCTAGAACTCTTCAATGTTGAAGGTATCGCCGACCAATCAAATGGTAGGAAACGAAAATTGGCGCTAAAATTTGCATAAAAATTTTTCGGGGGTGGATAACAAAAACTACCTCGGGGTATATATTTGTTATGCGTGGAAATTTTAGACTACAGAAGAATAGTGATTTTCTCCTTTTATTTTATATAGGAAATATTTTAACAGAAGTATAATAATTAGGTAAATGTCCAGCTACAGAAGTGCAAAACCATTCAATTTTAACAATAAGATTATGCTTATTGTTCCCTACTTTGTGTTTGTCATAGCATACTTAGGCACATGAAATTTCACTTTCAAAAAAATCATAAATAGTGTAAAAGATGGTGAAAAAAAGTCTATGAGCTGAAGTATTTTTAGACTGGTGTCTATACTGAGAATCCCTAGAGAGAGATGCAAAAGTTTCTGTGTTATGCCAATGCTTTGATATTAGAAATAAACTTTTCTTTTGTGTTTAAGGAAATCAAAAGGAATTTAAATCATTCTAATTTCTTTTTCAATTGAAAAGTCGTTTTTTTTAATTAAATGGGGTATTGTCACGCAAAAGAGGTCTATTTAAGAATACAATGTGTTTTATGACAATTCAAAAGTGAGAAGACTAAAAAAAAGATCAAAACACAGCCAATCTAATTAAAATTAGATCTTTGATCCGCTCCAGTTTGATCATGTAAGAGCGGTCAAACTGGAGCGGATCAAAGATCTAATTTCAATTAGATTGAAAACACGCCAGTCCATTCTGCACATCATCTTATCACGATCAGGGGAAACACACAAGAGAGGAATATTTTCTATCCACAGTGTATCTTTATCAAGAATATAAAGGCAATCTCGAAGAAATCCATTTACTATAACAAGTATGACTTTCGATCTTTAGTCAGTGACATCAAATAATTTTTACCCCATATTTTAAAAAAAGCGGACAGGCTTTTGCTCACATCCACTTCTCTTTGCAAACCTTTGATTTTTGGAAAGCATGGAAAACGTAAAACTAGTGACGGTATACCCTACAACTAAAATCTCGTTTAAGATACATGTATATTGAAAGGAAAATGAAACGCATGGTAATATAATATGCGAAATGCTTTTGACCGCATGTCCAATAGGAAAACTGGTCTGTTGAGAAACTTGGAATCTAAAAAAATTAAAATGACAATTTATCAGACTGAAAGGTGGGGGTATTCAAATCCTAATAACTTTGGTAAATAAACATGTACAACAGTATTTTGGGTATCCTATATAAATTGAAGAAGTAATAGAGTTTCTCATGTCAAAAATCCTGCATTTTAACGTTTAGTTGTGAGGAATGGTCGCACGTTTTGATGCATTCCTTTTGGATCAAATCGATTTTTAGACATGGGATGAAGTGAGAAATCATAAAAATGAATTATCACATCACGTTTTTAAGGCTTTTAAATATTTAGGAAGAAGTTTGTCTTCCTACACAATTGTATATGTTACTCTTGTACTTGTGAAATTTTCTACATGGTTAAATTCTTTTTCATACACATCGCATTTGTAAAATGTATCATCAGAATTTATCATGGCGCGTCTTTTGATTACTTTAACAAACATAGTTGTTTAAATGCACGCCTTTTCAAACACATTGTTTCTCATAAGTTCTCATAAGGGACCTTATTTTTTGAATGCCTTCTCACAAACATCACAGGAACAACGCTTTCATATATCCTAATTTTTTTCTGAAAGTTATATAAATGAACACATGTTTTTACACACCTCCCATTTATAAGATTTATTACCGGTATGTATACCCATGTGTCTATGTAAGTTATATTTTGGTTGGGTACCTTCTCACACGCACTATAGAGATGATGTTTTTCGTGTATATGGCATCATGTGTCTCTGAACGTTATTTTAATGTGTATAATTTTCCCAAATACTTCATTACTTGCAATGGTTAATTACTTCTACCTGTCCTCACGAGACTCTGCAAAATATGCAATTCAGCAAATGCCATCCAATACACTTTACATCCACTCGTCATTTTCTCCTCATGAGTTTCTTAATGTTTCCTAGTTAAGGAAAAGCCTTTGGTTATATTTCACAAGGATAACCACTCCTGATGGGGTCCATAAAATATGTTACTCGGGCAGCTAAGACAAAGAGGCCCATAGGAAATACATTTTAAATTAGTTGTAGAAAATGGCTACAAGTATAGGATTTGATATAATTTTAAACAGTCATCAATACTGATGAATTCAGATTCATCTATTTACATGTCTGTACGTATAAGGTCTCTTCTGTGTTTGCCTGTTTGGCTTGAGCGATTTTACTTGCATCAGCTGTTTGTCAAGTTGCACTATTAAATTTATATGTATATAAAAAGATTTGCAAAACACTTGTGTCCCACTCCCCCAAATAATTGAAATTTTTGTATGTCTAAGGGGCATAACAACAGCAAAGCAATATGCCCTCTCTTCTTTAAAGGTGACATAAAAATATGAACGCCTAAAGAGATTACAAAAATTCAACAGTAAACGCATAGTTTTCTCTATGAAAATAGTTGTGTTCTAGATCTGTTTAGGAGCAACTTCATCAAATTAAATTTAGCTTATTTTCGATAAACTTGCTGGATTGACAAACATTGAAATAAATAAACTGGGTAGTTGTAGCTATTTTAAGACTATATTGATCTCCTAAGAAGATTTCATTGAAAATATGAGAAAATTTAAAAATTAAATATACTGATATTTTTTTTCTTTGCAAAATGATAGTTGAGAGTTTAAGATATCATATCTAAACAATAATATGAGTGAAGATATATTCCAGAGGGACGTTAAACGATATACAATCTAAACAATAATTTATAACTGATGATTAATTTGTTGACCCCTGTCCTCTTAAAATTCGGAATAAACTACAAGTTCCTAGCACTTTTCAAAATAACCGTGATTATAGAAACTCCGAATTTTGAGGGTTCTCCTTGTCATTCATGTATGTTTCAGTATAATTGTGCTTTACATGGACATTATATGAGGTCTACACGTATTCAAATTATTAATATTACAAGGTAATGATTAATACACTCAACAAAAAGTGTCTCTTTATTGGTCACATAACATTTATTTAATTTTATTTTTCAAATTTACATGCAACCATAAGTCTTAAAGGCATCTGATTCCACTATGATATTCCGTGTTTGCATTGCTCCTGTTTTGTATTGTTTTATGGACTTTTGATCTTGAAAACCGCCCGTTGTCTCTATATGTTTCACCAACGACTCAAGAACAGACGATCTACGTATCGAAATAGCCCGTGACGTCATCATAGTCGGTGCAGCGAGACCGAAAGGACTATAATATATAAATTTAAATAGTATATTTGTAGTAGGTTATATTATACATTGACTGTTGATTTCATAATTTATTAGAAAAAAAAAACTTTTTGGAGTTTACATGAAGAAAGAACATTAGTGTTTATTCCACAAGATAGATTTGTATAATTGAACGTGATGTCACAATCGTCTTTCAGAACCTCTAGAACTCTATAGGCTGAAGTAAGTATTGGACTCCGTAACCGAACTTCAAAATGAAAGTGGGCAGTGAATACCATCCCACATACTACACATTCATATGTATCTCCATGTTTCTCTTCTAGAGTTTTGACAAAGAAAACACCTTTTCACACACACTTCTCATTTATTATGTTTGTCACTTATGTGTAACTTCACATTTACAATGTTTGTCACTGTGTAACTTCACATTTACAATGTGTGTCACTTGTGTGTAGCTTCAAACTTAAAATGTTTGACACTTGTGTATAACTTCATATTGATCATTTTTGTCATTTCTGTGTAATTTCACATTTACAATGTTTGTCATCTGTGTGTAACTTCACATTTACAATCTGTGTGTAACTTCACAATTACAATGTTTGTCACTTATGTGTAACTTCACATATACAATTTTTGTCATCTGTGTGTAACTTCACATTTACAATATTTGTTATTTGTGTTTAACTTCACATTTACAATGTTTGTCACTTATGTGTAACTTCACACGTATCATGTTCACCTGTGTGTAACTTCACATTTATCATGTTTGCCACTTATATGTTACTTCACATTTACAACGTTTGTCACTTGTGTGTAACTTCTCATTTATCATTTTTGTCACCGATGTGTAGCTTCATGTGACTGCGTAACGTATGCGACTCAGTAAATGCTTCTCCACACACATCACATTCAAAAGGTTTTTCACCAGTATGTGTCTTCATGTGTCTGGTTAAGCTACCAGCTAAAGGAAAAGCCTTCCCACACACATCACATTTATAAGGCTTTTCCCCGGTGTGTTTCCTCATATGAATATCCAAATCCGATTTTTTCAAATATGCTCTTTCACACAGATCACATTGGTAAGGTTTATCATCAGTATGTACCTTGATGTGTTGCTTTAAAGAACTTAAATCAGAATATATCCTTAAACACAAATTGCATTCATAAGGCTTCTCATTTCTCATGACACTATGTGTCTTTATGTGCTTCCGTAAGTTACATGATTCAGAAAATGGCTTCCCACACACATCACATTTGTAAAGTTTTTCACCTGTATGTGTCCTCATGTGATGCCTAAATGATCCTGATAAAGAGAATGCCTTCCCACACACGTGGCATTTATGAGGTTTATCACCAGTATGTGTCCTCATGTATTCCTGTAAAGTAATAGATTGTTTGACTGCCTTCTCACACAGGTCACATTTATACGGTTTCTTGTCAGTATGTTTACTCATGTGTATCCGTAGGCTTTTTGATACAGCAAACGCTTTTCCGCATACGTCACATTTATAAGGTTTATCACCTGTATGTATCCTCCTATGTGCCTCTAAGTAATCTTGTCTGCTGAATGTTTTCTCACACACATCACATTTTTCAGATTTATCATGTACTTTCATATGTGCCCGTAAGTAACTAGTTCTAATGAAGGTCTTTTTACATTCACCACATTCATATAGTTTTTCACCAGTGTGGACTCTCATGTGTGTTTGCAGGGAACTAGGTCGGAGGAATGTCTTTTCACACACAGAACATTTATAAAATTTACCATTTTGTTTCATAAATTCTTTCCGAAAATGATCTGAATGAGTCGAATCTTTCCCACTGATGTAACTTTCATGCGGCTCTTCACTTACATGTATATTGGTATGCATATCTGATACTTCTGTTAGATTGTCATTTCCACTATAATTGTTTAACTGTTCAGCATCGCTTTGAATACATGACATACTTTGAGTATGAGACCTGAATGAAAGTGCTGCCATCTCTTTCTGTAAATGATAAAAAAAAATCAGTTGTAATTCTATATTTAGTTACTTACTCATAACATTACGGAGAAACATTATAAAACATTTAACCTTTTTGAAGTTCTATAATACATAAACAAGAGGCACAAATGTCACATCGCTCAACTAAGCACTTTGGCTAGGAATAAAGCAGAAAGCATTTTATTTTTGGAAAGTTTAAATATAAAAGTGGTCCAAACCATACAATAAAGGTGCGAGGGTATGATTTGAACAAACTCAAATCAACATGTTTGCATATTTATTTCATGACAAGCAGCATACGGTGGGTGCGACCAGTCAGCAGGGGATGCTCACACCGCCATGGCACCTGATCCCACCTCTGAGATTTCGGAGGTCCGTGTTAGCTCTGCTCCTATTTTGTATTGTTTACTGGACTTTGATTGAATACTGTTCGTTATCTCCATATCCTTCCTCGACTAGCTGTGTCTTTATTATGTTCCCCAAACGAAGTTGGGGAACATATTGTTTTTACTCTGTTTCTTATTATTATTATTATTATTATTATTTTTCTTCCTGGGAAAATTTTGTACTTGAGTGATCTTGTAAACTACACATCTGACTAAGGTAAAATATTTTTAGGGTCAGTAGACATGTAATGTAGATTTGCCGAACAAAGGTCATTTTGCGCGCACGTGCTTGCAAGAGCGCGCACGTGCAACATTTGAAATGACCGATTTAATTGTTATACTCCATTCTCAAAGAATATTCATAAGTCCCGCGTTCGATCTCAAAACGAGGCTAAGGTCGGTTGAGCGAAGCTCTATAAATAATGGCGACGCCCAGTATCGGGAAGAACGACAGGCATTGTTGCGTTCCTCTGTGTAACGGCAACGGTCGCTTACGCCCAGAATTGTCTTTCCACAAATTCCCAAGCAATGAAATTGTCAGGAAATTATGGATTCAAGCCATAAGGAGGGACCCTGGACCCCTTTTTAACGTAAGAATGAATGATATGAGAATGTTGTTTACATAAGTCATAAGCATACAAATACACGCTCCCCAAATACATCATCACCTGTGGCGTTATGTTGGAAGGTCTAATCCGCCTAGAATATTGATAATCGTAGTATAACACATACCTATATCAACATGGGATTTATATTTAGTGTGTCAATTACTGTTTATAAATATAAAATTGTGAAATATAGGAAATTTTTGTATACATGTAACATGTGTAAGTCTGTAAAGTTCGTATATGGGGACCATATAAATATAAATAAAGGTATACACGTTAAACGTGACATACATGTACAAGAGACGCAAAAGGTCTGTATTTCTACGATTACACTTCAGTGCTGAGTGACAATCACAAGACTTCAGTTTATGAGTCACCTTAGGAATTCAAAGAAATTGCACGTTTTTCACATTAGGTCAAGGAAGCTGTTGTTTGTTCACGGCATTTTAAAGCAGAGGACTATAAATGGACACCAGTAAGGACAACTCTGAGACCTGGTAGTGTTCCCTCTACTTTCAACGGGACCAAGAATTCAACGCTAAGGAGACCAATCATTAAAAATCCACTCCCCGAAAAACTGCAGAAAACTGACAAGGATGGTATTGCAGAGGCACTGGCTCCATCTGATGATAATTTGCTTAATGAAAATTGGTAATGCATTCCTTATTGAATATAAACTTTATTTCAAATATGCTGGTCCACAGATTTTTGTTTTATTTTCACAAAATCTTAATTTAAAGCTGAAGTTTTTTTTTAATTTTATGTAAATTTCCTTTGGAGCACTAATCATTTCATTATTATTTATGGGGACCCATATTTATAAATACACTGAATATATATTATAAGTACACTAATTTAATGGATATCTTCGAGTTTTATTTTAAGGTGTTCTGCGGGTCGGACTGATGCTGGATCATCAATTTAAATCATTTTCAAAATACTACACATTTGTCAAGTTGTAAACAGAAATATCAACTTGCAATTGTAGTTTTGCTATTTTGAATGATTTAATTAACATCAAACATTTTGGTTGCTGGCTGACACCATCCTACAAATACTGGTGCTGGAACATCAGGCAGAGCAATAAGATAATCATGTAAGTTAAGTTTATTCAATTATCATTATTTTTTGACTGTCAATTTAGTATTTGATGCATTTGGATTTTTAGTTGCCCCCCAGTAGAAGATTCATCTTCTGTGTCCTCAGACAGCGACAGAATCAAAATGCTGGAAAGCATGTTAAGAGAAAGGGACGAGAGCATTGCCAGACTCCAGCAGAAACTTGACATCGAGAGATTTGGGGTGGAGCGTTTTTCAAAAGACAATTCAACGATCATGTTCTATACTGGTTTCATGACTTTTTCTATTTTTACTGCAGTATTTGAATTTATCAAACCAGCAGCAAGCTCCATGACAAGCTATTACTATCGAGTTTCAGCCAATGCAAATCCCAACTTGACTGGCAGACAAAGAAATATGCTGCTGATTGATGAATTTTTCATGTTTTTGAGTCGCCTCAAATGTGGTCTTATGGAACAAGATCTAGCAGTTAGATTTAACTGCCATATCTCCACGGTAAGCAGAAAAATCATTACTTGGGCAAATTTTTTGTATTTTGTACTTGGAAGCATAAATATTTGGCCATCTAGATAACAGATTGACAGAAAAATGCCCGATTGCTTTAAAATTATGTATCCCACAACAAGGGTGATAATTGATTGCACAGAAATCAAAACTGAGCGACCCTCCTCACTTGTCCTTGGCTCCAAATTTTATTCTTCATATAAGAGTACACATACATGGAAGGGACTGGTTGGCATAGCACCTCATGGTGCCCTTACCTTTGTTTCAAGCCTATACACTGGCTGTATGTCTGATGTAGAGATAACAAAGCTTAGTGGTCTGATAGATTTACTTGAAGGGGGGGACTCAATCATGGCAGACAAGGGATTTTTTTTAAACAAAATTCTGGAAGGGACTGGCATTGGTGTTAACATATCCCCTTTTCTTATGAGCCAGGGTCAGTTCACAATGCAAGAGATTGAGGAGACCCAAACGATTGCAAAATTGCGTATACATATTGAGCGCCACATTCGCCGCGTGAAGGAATTTCATATTTTTGATGGTGTTATTCCTTTAAGTATGGTTGGGTCCATAAATCAGATATGGACAGTGGCAAACATGTTAACTCTGTTTAGGGGTCCTCTTATTAAAGAGTGGGCATGACTTTGACGTTCATTCAAACTTGTATGCAAGACTCGGAGAAATTATTAATCAGGTACATGTACTCTGTGGGAGTATTAGGATTATGGGTAGCACATGTAGATCTATATTGAAATACTTGTACTTGTAGGTTTATGTACTCTATGTTATGGAATACAAGTAAATGTTCAAGAAAAGCAAATTAATCATGCCTTGAATTTCATAAAAAAAAAATCTTCAATAACATATTTTGAATTTCGAGATTTGTTAAAATACATGTATGCTACTAATTATCGGTACATATGAAACATGCATTTTTTTTCAAAGTAAATATATAGTTATTGATACTGTAAGTTCTAAATATTTTGTTTTTCTTAATTTTTACATTTCCAATAATTTTCTATAACAATTCTTTACAAATCACTCAGAGGAAAAAATTTATTTTCTGATAACTAAGAGGGACATAAGCATGAATATCTCAATATATTCATTTACAAAATTATACTTGCTGTCCAAACTGTAGAGCAAACTTGACTTTTTAATTTATTGTTTGTAACAGCTCATCAAATAAATAATGTAAATACATGTATAAGATATGATTTAATTTCTAAAAATTCATGAGGTACATAAACTACATGTATAACCCTTCAAGCCAGCCAGAATATTATTCATAAAGTGAGGTGGCACCTTATGAAATATGCCACAATGAAGTGTTTTAGTTCATGTCCTAATAAATTTTTACAAATTATATTTATTTCTCAATTGAATTCACATTAAATAATGATAAAAAAAGAAAATATCTATCTTTTCTTTCATGTCTTGCCAAAAATCTGCATCAAAATGCACAAGCTCTAAATGAAATTCCTCAGGAGTCCACACAAAAAAATGACACCATTCAAGTCCAGTAACTGCCATCTGGGTCATCACCTGATAGTAGTACTTATGAGTGTTCTTCAGGTGGTATCCATTTTCATCTTTGGTGAGGTAGTCGCACTCCGATAGGCATCTCACAGGACACTTGATTTCAAGTAAACCATGTGGTGGTGTTAATGATTGGCAGAACACTTTCCTGTCTGGTGTGGCTGCTATCCAGGGTGACCATGGGCTTATAACAAGACCACATGGATAGATGTTAACATCTTCATCCATAGCCTAAAATTAATAAAGAAAATTAATTTTGATTCAATATGAAATTTAAATGAGGTGCAGTAGTTAGATATAATGTACATGCATTTAGACATCAAATATCACATACCTGCACATACGCTAATGCAGCTGTAGGCTCACATGCTAAGCCGAGTCTCATTGCTGCTGAAACTACCTTCCGTGTGGTCCTTAATCGTGCCACAAGTGGATCACAATCTATAAAAAAAATGTTGTTTTGTAAGGTATCAATAACACTCGGCATACAGAGATGATTATTTTTACATTAAGAAATGCTTAATATCATATTAACAAATATTTTTAGATGCTTATTTTTTTAGGCATTCATAGATTATATTCTAACCTTTTTTCCGTCGTACAATGTCTCCTGCAACAGATGCAGTTATTCTGTCTTGACGTATTTTGTGCCATTTTGGATCCTGGGACTGAAGGCGTGTGGAAATTTCAATTTCACTGGCCTGCATCTCCGACACTGACAGTGACTCCAGTTTCAAAGATTTATTATAGTCTAGAACTACTGCCACATTGTTAATCATGGTGTTTTGCTTTGGTAAAGATGGGAAATCTTCAGCATCCAAGATATTTAGAACGTATTCACTGTGCAGTTTCTGCTGTACTCCTATGGGTGATCCTATAGGAAAATTCCCGAACTTGGTACACACATCTTTCTGCTGCTCACTGGGGCTCACAACTGATAACAAAAGACATGATTTGTCAATGGAAGACAAAGCTTCACACAGTTCTCCAATCGGTGAACACTCTGAATTTATGGGATTGTATAAGGTTGTCTTTAATCCACGGGTCTTCATCCTGGGGTCACTTGTGTTGAATCCTGTGACAGTTATATTGTCGGATGAACTGCCACAAATTTTCTCACCTAAAATAAAATTTTAAACTTAAATTTTTAAAGAAACAAATGCATTTCAAATGTGTATCTTTGTGCATCTGATAATTTGCATGTGTATCTATATATATATATATGTTTTTTTTAAAATACATATTACATGTAATTTTACATTTGTTTAAAATAATTGTAGCCAGTGGTAGAACATTAATCTTGTAAGTGTAAAACTGCTTAAACAGACAGACCAAAAAATGTTTACCTCTTGGAACATGCCAAGTTTGTGGTAAGGAAGTCTTGGCAACATCAGTCGGAACTGCCTTAAGATTGGATGCTTTCATATGCGCAATGGAGTACAATACACCTACAATGTGTCCACAAGATCCAGATCTACCAACTGCACAGGAACACTTGCTGTCTTCTCTTCCAAACACTGGTCCTTTCTTTATTACTACCTAAAAATGATTATACATGTATTAGAATATTATTAAAGTACAATTATCATATGACCTGACATTTACAAAATACATGCATGTACATAATCTTTAAAAATTCAATACAATATATAGTTATTAATCTCAGTTACATGAATTTATAAATTCAATCATAAACTTAAACATGGACAATTGTATTTGGTATAATTATTTAATATCATGTCAGAAACACAATTCAAGTTTGCATACCTCTACATCATGTGGGGACTCATTCTTTTTCTGGGATCTATAACATCTTGCTCTTATAAGACATCCTTCATCACCATCCAAAGCATACACTGTAAGTTTTAATTTAAAAGCATATATAATATTGATATACTTTTTGCATCACCAATGTGAGATATATATTACTGTATAATGCAAATAATACTGTTAAAAAATAATGAGATATTGTTTACATAGGGATAATGATTAATGACTTAATGTAAAGGACATGCACTAGCATATGCATGGTTCATAAACCAAATTCACTGTCAATGATGTGCAATAATTTGAGAAGTTAACACGCTCATGTTTTATATTATATATCACGAAAAATAATCATGTATTAATTTGATAATGATTAGAATGGGGAAATAAACTTGGTTTGTTTATATTGTGGTGTGAAACTGAAAGTACAAGTGCAGTATGTATAAGCAGATAGTGTGTGTCTTTACCTCTGATATCTGTGACGTATTTCTCACTAAAATACTTATATCCTTTGGTGAGCTCTTTTGTTCCATCACTTTTAACACACTTTCCTACAACTTCCTCCACAAAACTGAAGGAAATTGCAGGTACGGTAGATAAATCACGAGTCGATGTTAACTTTCAATTCAGCCGCCATTGTTTCTACCGACGCTAGCCTCGTTTTGGATCCGATATGAATATTCATCACGATCTCATTAAGAAAGGAGTATATAGGCATACCTTTTCACATTTTTGATGAAATGCTTTGAAACTCATAATATAAGGATATATTTGTGGCATAGACAATATGACATGGTCAAAATAGCAAGATCTCACGCGCATGCACGTGCGCTTCGCTCTGATTGGCTGAAACTAGAGTCTCTATATCTTTCTTGTTTCTTGACGAAATTCTTTGAAATTTTGAACATAGCCATGCATTAAGATATCCTACAACCTGATATATAGCAATTATCATGAAAACACGGGTAGGCACGTGCGCTGCAATCTGATTGGCTGAAACTTTAAATAGCTATAACTCCCTTGGTTGTCAACCAAACAGGATGGTATTTGGAACATAGATAGATATAATGAACTTCTACTAGAAGGTATGGTCACCATGCACATGCATACACGTGCGTGTACGTGCGCTGCAATCTGATTGGCTGAAACTTTAAACAGCTATAAATCCCTTGGTTTTCAACCAAACAGGATGGGATTTGGAACATAGATATATATAAAGGACTTCTACAAGAAGGTATGGTCACTATGCACATGCTTACATGTGCGTTTACGTGCGCTGCAATCTGATTGGCTGAAATTTTAAACAGGTATAACTCCCTTGGTTTTCAACCAAACGGGGTGGGATTTAGAACATAGATAGATGTAATGGACTTCTACAAGAAGGTATGGTCACCATGCTCATGTTTGCACGTGCGTGCACGTGAAATGGGTAAAATTAAAAATGCACTTGAATGAGCGGTTTTATTGTTTTTATTTTATACTTTTGAATTAAATACTTTAATATTTAGCATATTAAAATATATTGATTGTGTAGACAATATAATATGGTCATTACGCACATACATTCACATGCGCAATTTGCAATGATAAAATTTGAATGAACATGGTACGCTTCTGGGTAAACTTTGTTAAAGTCTCAAATGCATAGAGTTTGTCTTATTTAATTAAGCTTACAGGGAATATGACTATAAAAGGGAGTTGGGGAGCGTTTGGGGAACATCTGTAACGGTCCCCGTTACAATTAGCACTAGTTGTTATTTACATTTGAACTTGCATTGTGGCTCCTCCTCCCAAGCTGCCCAACTAAAATATAACCAAGCATGGCTTAGCTGTCTTTAATTTTAACCCTATATATTCCTAAGTAAAACTTTGCTCATGCATTATTGCTCCAACCTATCAAACCAGGGTCATGATTTGACCAAAGTTACGTCTGCACTCACCACCTTTGACCAATCATGGTTTTGCTGTTCTTAAGAATATATAAAAAGATTTTCCAATATTTTTCTATTTAAAACTGATCAGCACTGTGACCTCACCTCTCCCTATCCCCATGGATCATGATTTGAACAATCTTGAATGTACACAACCTGAGGCTGCTTCCATAGTAATTTGACCAATCATAGCTTTGCTATTCTTGAGAAGTAGATATTTAAGCAATTTTTCTATATGTTTCTATGTGAAACTTTCATCAGCTACTGTGGCCTCAAACTATCCCCGGGAATATGATACATGTATGAACAAACTTGAATCTATGCTACCTGAGAATGCTAAAATATGATCAATCTTTTCTTTGCTATTCTATTCTTTA